GAGCTAAAATTCGTTAACTAAACCTAAAATATGGAAAAAATGAACAAAAAATACCTTTTCGATGGATGCGAGCTCAACTGCCCATTGAGAATTGGGATCGCGATCAGGTACCAAATGTACAACCTTTTTTCCTTTGCTTTGTTCCCAATTGGCAGTTGGGCCCGCAACCATCGAAAAAGTATTTTTTGTTCATTTTTCCATACCCAGGGCCTTCGGCTCTGTGAGGCTGAGACATTCGGGTCGGGAGCTGGGCCGTTCGGCATGTATGACTCATGTCGGGAATCGAAAGCCAGCCGAGTATTGCAAATGCATGTGTATACACAGACACGACAAATTATTTATCAATTCTTATTTTCCGAAACCGTTTTGAGTTTGTTTTGAGTTTCGTTTTCAGTTTACGTAAATGTGTGTGTGCCATGTATTCACACATACTATGCTTGTGTGTGGGCTCTACAATTTTTTTCCGCTTAACTGAATTTCGGTTTTTATACCCGTACTCAAAAAAGAGTTAAGGGGTATATTAGATTTGTGGTAAAAGTGGATGTGTGTAACGCAGAGAAGGAAACGTGTCCAACAAGCATTACAAAAAAGAGCTCATTGTGCAAATTGTGAAAACATTTGTAGTCATTTGTAGTTCTACCAGGTGGCATCGCTTCAAAATGCCAAAACAAAACTAAAAAACAAATTCTACAAATTATTGCCATTGCATTTATGTCAAAAACCCCTGTTCGGCTAAGCGCAGACCCATGGCAGCACAAATAGATGCATAGCGATCATTATACCAAAAACTGGTATTTGTAATGAACTAAATTAGCAGTAGTTTGAGAAGACAATCACAAAAACCACATACGTATCGTGTGAACGTGAAAACGAGTCCGATGCGCATCTGAGAAGCCTGCTGTTGAGCTACTGAGCTTTTTCAATAGCGTAGTTTTGTTGTAAGCAGTATAGAAGGCGATACAGAGTCAAAGAGATAGCGAAAGGTTCGAGTCAGGTTGATGACGAGTCGGTTGGAGAGTTAGCTGGATTCAAGACGGGGTCAGATTGTAGACGCGGGGGTCGGTACAAGACGGTGTCGGATTGAATAGCTCGATTCCAAGACGATGTGCAGTGGTTGCTAGATCCAGACTAATTCAAAGGGCAGGCGGGCCGAATTGCCCGTGCCCTAATGCGAGCGAGAGAGCGACAGATCGAGAGAGTGATAGCAAAGCAAAGGAAAGAAAGAAAGGCACGGGATGAAGAGGCGAAAGAGAACGGCTGCATAGGCTGCTGCCGTGAGGGAGCATGAATGCGTGCATGAGTTTGTAGGTAAATGACAATTTAGTACAGTGGGCAGTGCAAACAACGAACAATAATAAGGATTTACTCTACTGCTGCACCACTGGCTATAATCTATGCATTTGTCCACTATTTGGCTGCGTAACCAAACATACTCCTCCCGTTGAAGATCACGGGTCTTTAAAAAAACTTCCTTCAACAGCATACAGGGTTCAGCAGACAAAGCTTGTTGTTGATGGGGCCGTTCTTCCTTCCGTCGTCATCGGCGAGTTCACTTCCAATCTCGTCGAAGTCCAGCTCCTCGAGTTGTGTGTGCACGGTTTTAAAAGTGCCGTGCAGCTTATCGATTTGCTTCAGCCTGCCAACGAGCATGAAGTGGTTGAATAGGAAAGCGTTCTCCAAGACAACTTTAAGCTGCTTCATCCGTTCAAATAACGCTGGTGCTTTCCGCTTTAGGAAAGCCTTACTGTTTCCAGCAGCGGGCACTTCACCGTCGTTCCTTGCACTCATTTCGGCGCAGGAGCTAGAAAACGTTCCTAGCGGGAAGATGACCGCAAAGAAAAACGGACGCTTGCAGTAAATGCAGCAAGAACCGCAAGCAGATCGCAAAGCAGACGTCGCGAGCACCGTTTTTGTTGCTTGTGCACAGCCGAATACCGAAAAACCGTGGTTCAATGCGTATTAAACGAACGATAAATGAGCGAGAGAGCGACAGATCGAGATAGTGATAGCAAAGCAAAGGAAAGAGAGGCGCGAAATGAAGAGGCGAAAGAGAAAGGCTGCATAGGCTGCTGCCGTGCGGGAGCATGAATGCGTGCATAAGTTTGTAGGTAGATGACAATTTAGTACAGTGGGCAGTGCAAACAACGAACAATAATAAGGATTTACTCTACTGCTGCACCATTGGCTATAATCTATGCATTTGTCCACTATTTGGCTGCGTAACCAAACAGACTATACAATACATGTATGTACATACATTTCATATCATATCTCTGCCCATATCTCCTAAACTAAAGTTATCTTGAAAATTAGATTCGCTAAAGCTCTGGAAAATGTTCTACTATATGTGTACATTTATTTTATTCAAAGTGTTGATAAAATATTTTTTAATTTTGCCACCTCTTTCGCCTGAGTCTCCAATGTAAATACACACAGTACAAACAAATAACAACTTTAAATTTTAAAGTTTAAAACCAAAATCGACCTATTCAGGGCCGGATCAACCCTCAACCGGGCCCTGGGCAACCATCAATCTGGGGCCCTCTATTTTTTCACCGACAGCTCCCTTCTTTTTTCATTTGAAATAAAAACTTTTATGTTGTTTAATTTGTATGTTTATTAGTGGCTATTATATTTTTTATTCATTCACAAAACTCAAAATTGTTTTTTCAACAAAAATTTTCTGTTAGCCCTAGGGGGGCCCTAGGCAACTGCTAATCTGGCCCTGGATTCCCGTTGTCAGACATCATATTTTGTTGGTGTATTCTGTCGCTCGACTCGACGCGGGCCCATCGCATTTACGAAGCCGAAAGCAGAGGCAAAGGCTAGTTTAAAAGAGAATGGAAGAAGTAACCTTGAAGCGTCAAAACGAAAATTGAACGAGCATTTTGCTCCTCGTGCAAAGGTATTGTATAGTCTTTGGTATTGGACTGCGGGCTGTAGTGGTCGCACGTCCGATCGCTATGGCTCCACAGCTAAAAAAAATCTAGGTGTTCACGCTCCAAGCTCTAAAAGCGGACTCTAGATAGGGGTGGGTGTGGAATCAACACTGTGGATCTGTATCAGCTAACGTTAGACTCGACATACTACTACAGAGGGAGATAGTTCTACAGACAGACAAATGGATCACGTATTGCCACCGCAGCATGCCCCCCCCCGCTCCGCTTATATAGCGAAAAACATTGAAAACAATTTCAAATCGAACGGAAACCTGGCCCAAAGTCAAATAAGAAGTCCAATGCTTCTTCTTCAACTCCATCCTTGACCTGAACCAGCAGGTTCAGGGGAGCCAGTCTACGTCACGGTAAGGTTGATTTTATTGCTGTTCAATACAATACTTAGCATTATAAACAATTTATTGGGGCTGCTATTCCTACTTAATTTTTTTGTTTCCGCTGCCTGCTGACCGCAGTTTTTCAGTCATAGGCAGCGCATACTCCACTCTCGGCACTAACACTAGTCAACACGATTTTTCCTCAAGGAACAAAACGAACTTTTTCTTAAAGATTTGGGGCTTACAAATGGTTTGATGATATTTTTTTTTCTATGGCAGAACTTTTTTTTAAGCAATTTTTTAAAACTGGTATTTTTTTTTAACCTTTTTTCAGAGGTAGCGATTTTTTTTTCACATAACCCTAGTATCTTACGTCTGGTTGTAAAGAACTTTGCTATTTTGAAAAGATAATTAAAACAGCTAGAAGTTGAGCCCAAACACTTTGTGATTTCAGCTTACCGTCTGGGAAATACAAAAATGATGATTTTTGTGCGGTATTTTTTACGAAATTTTAACTTTAAAAACTCAGGAAAAGTCGAAAAAAAATTATATCCTGTGTCCTCTATTTTTTTTCGTGTATAGGTGCATTTACGGTATCGTTGTTTACGGTATCGCTCATTTAAATCTATGGAGAGACTTTGGAGCTAAAATTCATTAACCAAACCTAAAATATGGAAAAAATGAACAAAAAATACCTTTTGGAAGGTTGCGAGCCCAACTGCCCATTGGGAACAAAGGAACGCGATCAGGTACCAAATGTACAACCCTTTTTCGTTTGCTTTGTTTGCACAGGGCAATGGTCATCTCGACGAACAGGAATACCTGCACTGTTCTCACCAGGATTTTCTTGAACATCTCCAAGCCCCACTGTGAGTCGTTCACTCGCGGTGCCGCGCTGAGCTTTCTGGAAGACTTTGCCCGTCCCCCGGCAAAAAGTGTCGTCCGCTTCTTGGTCTTGAACCGAGGCCCACGGGCAATTGTTGATGGCTGTTCCTCTTCCTGGGTGCCGCATGGCACCTGTGGGGAATGGGCAGCGAAGATATGGCTGTCAACAGTTGCTTCTCCACCATCGGCGTCCATTCATTCAGTGCCGCTCTGAGCTTTCTGGAAGACTTTGCCCGTCCCCGGCCAAACGTGTCATCCGCTTCTTGGCTTGAACCGAGGCCCACGGGCAATTGTTGATGGCTGTTCCTCTTCCTGGGTGCCGCATGGCACCTGTGGGGAATGGGCAGCGAGGATATGGCTGTCAACAGTAGCTTCTCCACCATCGGCGTGCATTCATTCAGTGCCGCTCTGAGCTTTCTGGAAGATTTTGCCCGTCCCCCGGCCAAACGTGTCATCCGCTTCTTGGTCTTGAAGTGTCTAAATGGGACGTAAACCGGGTCCAAAATCGAAAACAACCAAGAAGAAAGCAGAGAATGCTAACTCAAGTGCTTCTAGCACGGATAATGAAGGTATTGACTACCACAATTTGGATTTCTGCATTTCCCCTAGCCTTTTCATGAACCCCCCGCAAGATTCTGACCCGCTGACCCAAACTGGTCATGAGGACCTATCAAACTGCCCTCGCGCAATGAGAAGATCGGTTTCGATGGCCGACTTAATGAATGACATCGACATGCCCACTACTTCTACTGCAAAAGTGACAATAAATGTTCTGATTGCTGCTGCAGCAGATGCTCCTCTTGGGCCTGCTGTTCCTGCGGCTAGTTCAAGCGCCCGGAAGATGACCTCCCCTGGTGTTGCCTGTACTGCTGCCCGTGCTACTGTCCCTGCTGCCCCCAATGCTGCCCGTACTGATGCCCCTCGCTCTACCACTCCTAGTACCCGTACTATCGCTGCTTCATCAAATTCGTTGAGGCAGCAGACCCTGATTGAGCTGATCAAGGATCAGCAGGAAAAAATGGCTGTTGAGAAGAGGCTAAGTGCCAAGCTGAGGGCAGAGTCCGAAGCCCGGAACAAGAAAAGGACGGGCGAGCGGAGTCTGAGGCTAGAAAGGGGAAGCGTTCTGCTACCCAGGGATCTGCTATAGTGAAGCCAACCGCGAAGAAAGCGGCCACTATCAAGGCTACGTACCGGACCCGATCGAAGACTAATGTTGCCTCGACCCCCAGTTCTAACAACTTCTTCGAGATACTATCGGACAATGAATCGATGGCTATGGATGACTGCAGCGTGGGAGATTCGGAGCTGGAGGTACCTGCCCCCAACAACAGGCCCTCTGCAGCTACCGGATCTGCCCCTGTGCTAGATAGCAATGTCGGCCAAAATGCTAATCTTAATGCTACGAAAAGTTCTAATGTTAATGGACCTCCCGAGCTAAAATTATTAAAATAGGCAAATAATTGCCGTAAATTCTTAAATAATTGCACACGGTGTTGTAGTGCCCTGTGCTCATCAATAAAAATTAAATTCCGGCCAATACATAGTGTTGTGCCGTGTATAAAACTGTGCCAGAAATATTGTTCGACATAACCAATTGTCGGCCAAGGAAAAAACGTCGGGAAGGCTGCAGCCGCTGCTGCACCGCCGATTCAATACACATAAAATTTATGGATCTTGGCCACGTAACGACGGGCATTCCACATCCGGAATGCACAGGGCAATGGTCATCCCGACGAACAGGAATATCTGCACTGTTCTCACCAGGATTTTCTTGAACATCTCCAAGCCCCACTCTGAGTCGTTCACTCGCGGTGCCGCGCTGAGCTTTCTGGAAGACTTTGCCCGTCCCCCGGCCAAAAGTGTCGTCCGCTTCTTGGTCTTGAACCGAGGCCCACGGGCAATTGTTGATGGCTGTTCCTCTTCCTGGGTGCCGCATGGCACCTGTGAGGGAATGGGCAGCGAGGATATGGCTGTCAACAGTAGCTTCTCCACCATCGGCGTCCATTCATTCAGTGCCGCTCTGAGCTTTCTGGAAGACTTTGCCCGTCCCCCGGCCAAACGTGTCGTCCGCTTCTTGACCTGAGGCCCACGGGCACTTGTCGATGGCGGGTTCCGCATGGCACCTGTGGGGGAACGGGCATAGTTCTAATGTCAATGGACCTCCCGAGCTAAAATTATTAAAATAGGCAAATAATTCTTAAAATAATTGCACACGGTGTTGTAGTGCCCTGTGCTCATCAATAAAAATTTAATTCCGGCCAATACATAGTGTTGTGCCGTGTATAAAACTGTGCCAGAAATATTGTTCGACATAACCAATTGTCGGCCAAGGAAAAAACGTGGGGAAGGCTGCAGCCGCTGCACCGCAATTCAATACACATAAAATTTATGGATCATGGCCACGTAACGACGGGCATTCCACATCCGGAATGCACAGGGCAATGGTCATCCCGACGAACAGGAATACCTGCACTGTTCTCACCAGGATTTTCTTGAACATCTCCAAGCCCCACTCTGAGTCGTTCACTCGCGGTGCCGCGCTGAGCTTTCGGGAAGACTTTTCCCGTCCCCCGGCCAAAAGTGTCATCCGCTTCTTGGTCTTGAACCGAGGCCCACGGGCAATTGTTGATGGCTGTTCCTCTTCCTGGGTGGCGCATGGCACCTGTGGGGAATGGGCAGCGAGGATATGGCTGTCAACAGTAGCTTCTCCACCATCGGCGTCCATTCATTCAGTGCCGCTCTGAGCTTTCTGGAAGAGCTTTGCCCGTTCCCCCGGGCAAACGTGTCATCCGCTTCTTGGTCTTGAACCGAGGCCCACGGGCAATTGTTGATGGCTGTTCCTCTTCCTGGGTGCCGCATGGCACCTGTGAGGGAATGGGCAGCGAGGATATGGCTGTCAACAGTAGCTTCTCCACCATCGGCGTCCATTCATTCAGTGCCGCTCTGAGCTTTCTGGAAGACTTTGCCCGTCCCCGGCCAAACGTGTCGTCCGCTTCTTGGTCTTGAACCGAGGCCCACGGGCACTTGTCGATGGCGGTTCCTCTGTCTGGTGCCGCATGGCACCTGTGGGGGAATGGGCATAGTTCTAATGTCAATGGACCTCCCGAGCTAAAATTATTAAAATAGGCAAATAATTGCCGTAAATTCTTAAATAATTGCACACGGTGTTGTAGTGCCCTGTGCTCATCAATAAAAATTAAATTCCGGCCAATACATAGTGTTGTGCCGTGTATAAAACTGTGCCAGAAATATTGTTCGACATAACCAATTGTCGGCCAAGGAAAAAACGTGGGGAAGGCTGCAGCCGCTGCTGGCTATGGCTAGGAAACGCCTCTTGGCCTACAGGGTGACAGGGAACGAGCACCGCCGTGCGCATTTGGAACAACAGCAGCAGCAGTCGCACCAGAGCCAGCGCCCAAATCCATCCAACTACAGGACTCATCCACGACAACGGCAACAGCATCACCCATCACTGACGGCCAATACTGCTGATGCTCCACGCACAGGGCGCACCCACCTTCAACAACAGCAGCAGCAGGGGCTGCAGCCTCAACAGCCTCAACAACATCAGCATCAGCAACGACAGCGGCAGCAACGTCAGCCCACCATTGCGTCGACGACGACTGCTCCCACAACTGACTGGCGACAGAGGATGCGCCACCCAAATCAGCCTACAATCAATAACCCATTTAGACAGCAACAGCAGCATGTGTAGAGGCAACGACCCCTACGACAACAGCCTCAATCCCAAGTGCAGCCAACTCGCCACCATGTGCAAATGAGCCAGCTGTCAAGCCAGCAGAGCCACCAACATCAGCAGCAGACACCCCCCTCACAATGTGACGAATCCTGTTCACAGCGAATTGCTGCCCTCGAGTTAAAAATCGAGGAACTATCAGCCTTGATCTCCTCACTGTCACAAACGCCTGCGCTGACGATATTCATGGCAGCCTCAGTCACACCCGAACCAGTGCCGAGGCATCCAACAGCAATCTCACCATTGAGAGAATGGATGAAGAGACAGCAAATGAACATCAATATGCCTAGACAATACATGCGTATTCTCTCCTCTTCCAGCTCCAGCTCTTCCTCCTCAATTCTCTCCCCAGCCACCCCAGCCACCCAAACAAGCTCCACCAATCCGCTCTATTCAGATCCAGCCGTTGGCTCAGGCCCTTACCACCACCACCACAGCCATCACAACACACAATATCGCAATTCATTCAAAGTTGCCTTCTGGAATGCCTGCGGAGTGTCAAACAAAAAGGAAGAGCTTGAGCAATTCATGCTCACTGAGAAGACGCGGGGGTCGGTACAAGACGGTGTCGGATTGAATAGCTCGATTCCAAGACGATGTGCAGTGGTTGCTAGATCCAGACTAATTCAAAGGGCAGGCGGGCCGAATTGCCCGTGCCCTAATGCGAGCGAGAGAGCGACAGATCGAGAGAGTGATAGCAAAGCAAAGGAAAGAAAGAAAGGCACGGGATGAAGAGGCGAAAGAGAACGGCTGCATAGGCTGCTGCCGTGAGGGAGCATGAATGCGTGCATGAGTTTGTAGGTAAATGACAATTTAGTACAGTGGGCAGTGCAAACAACGAACAATAATAAGGATTTACTCTACTGCTGCACCACTGGCTATAATCTATGCATTTGTCCACTATTTGGCTGCGTAACCAAACATACTCCTCCCGTTGAAGATCACGGGTCTTTAAAAAACTTCCTTCAACAGCATACAGGGTTCAGCAGACAAAGCTTGTTGTTGATGGGGCCGTTCTTCCTTCCGTCGTCATCGGCGAGTTCACTCCCAATCTCGTCGAAGTCCAGCTCCTCGAGTTGTGTGTGCACGGTTTTAAAAGTGCCGTGCAGCTTATCGATTTGCTTCAGCCTGCCAACGAGCTTGAAGTGGTTGAATAGGAAAGCGTTCTCCAAGACAACTTTAAGCTGCTTCATCCGTTCAAATAACGCTGGTGCGTTCCGCTTTAGGAAAGCCTTACTGCTTCCAGCAGCGGGCACTTCACCGTCGTTCCTCGCACCCATTTTGGCGCAGGCGCTAGAAAACGTTCCTAGCGGGAAGATGACCGCAAAGAAAAAAGGGTCGCTTGCAGTAAATGCAGCAAGAACCGCAAGCAGATCGCAAAGCAGACGACGCGAGCACCGTTTCTGTTGCTTGTGCACTGTGCACAGCCGAATACCGAAAAAACGTGGTTCAATGCGAATTAAACGAACGATAAATGAGCGAGAGAGCAACAGATCGAGAGAGTGATAGCAAAGCAAAGGAAATAAAGAAAGGCGCGAGATGAAGAGGCGAAAAGAGGAACGGCTGCATAGGCTGCTGCCGTGCGGGAGCATGAATGCGTGCATAAGTTTGTAGGTAGATGACAATTTAGTACAGTGGGCAGTGCAAACAACGAACAATAATAAGGATTTACTCTACTGCTGCACCATTGGCTATAATCTATGCATTTGTCCACTATTTGGCTGCGTAACCAAACAGACTATACAATACATGTATGTACATACATTTCATATCATATCTCTGCCCATATCTCCTAAACTAAAATTATCTTGAAAATTAGATTCGCTAAAGCTCTGGAAAATGTTCTACTAGATGTGTACATTTATTTTATTCAAAGCGTTGATAAAATATTTTTTAATTTTGCCACCTCTTTTCGCCTGAGTCCCCAATGTAAATACACACAGTACAAACAAATAACAACTTTAAATTTTAAAGTTTAAAACCAAAATCGACCTATTCAGGGCCGGATCAACCCTCAACCGGGCCCTGGGCAACCATCAATCTGGGGCACTCTATTTTTTCACGACAGCTCCCTTCTTTTTTCATTTGAAATAAAAACTTTTATGTTGTTTAATTTGTATGTTTATTAGTGGCTATTATATTTTTTATTCATTCACAAAACTCAAAATTGTTTTTTCAACAAAAATTTTCTGTTAGCCCTAGGGGGCCCTAGGCAACTGCTAATCTGGCCCTGGATTCCCGTTGTCAGACATCATATTTTGTTGGTGTATTCTGTCGCTCGACTCGACGCGGGCCCGTCGCATTTACGAAGCCGAAAGCAGAGGCAAAGGCTAGTTTAAAAGAGAATGGAAGAAGTAACCTTGAAGCGTCAAAACGAAAAGACATGGCTCTATCGACTCGGCTATTGATGCTGATCAAGAATATATATACTTTATGGGGTCGGAAACGTTTCCTTCTCTGCGTTACACACATCCACTTTTACCACAAATCTAATATACCCCTTAACTCTTTTTTGAGTACGGGTATAAATAGAACGTCAGGTGATGGTATCCTTACTATTTACTCCAGCCCTGTTGGAGTATCAGAGTTAAGTGTCATACCTTTCTGACGCCATACTACGTTCCGATCTGGAGCTAGAAAGAAAATTAAAAAACGAGTCAAAAAAGTCACCTGGGCTTGATCGCATTTGCAATCGAGCGATAAAGGCACTGCCGATCTCTGCCATCACTTACTTGACGCTCATCTTTAATGCTGCTCTCAAATTTGGCCATTATCCAAAAGCATGGAAGACTGCCACGGTCACCATGATACCGAAGCCAGGCAAACCACCGGATCAGCTGGCATCCTACAGGCCAATCAGTCTTCTCTCTGGGCTATCTAAGCTTCTCGAGCGCCTCCTACTGGGTCGATTGTTTGAGGTAAGCAGCTTTGCTAGTTCTATTCCAAACCATCAGTTTGGTTTTTGTGAACAGCACTCAGCAGAACAGCAAATTGGCAGAGTCACCCAGTTCATCCTACAGGCACACGAGAAGAAAATGCACTGTTCAGCAGTTTATATGGACGTTCAGGAAGCTTTTGACAGAGTGTGGCACGAAGGTCTCCTCTGTAAACTAAAGAGATTAATCCCGGAAAGCCTTCACCGCATACTCACCAGCTACCTAACCGGCAGATCCTTCAGGGTTTTTTGCAACGGCGTCACCTCTTCCACAATGAACATTGCAGCTGGAGTACCACAGGGCAGTGTTCTCGGACCTGTGCTGTACAATGTGTACACTAGCGACATGCCAAAGCCACCCAGATACAGCTGCAATATGTTTGCTACATACGCTGACGATGCAGTCTACTTAGCGTCGGCTTACAACATAAAAAGCTGCATCACCAACATGGAGAAGCTGCTATCTGATGCTGCCAAATGGGCTAAAAAATGGGGAATTACGATCAGTACAACAAAAACGGCTCATGTCTTACATACGCTCTCAACAACATCTACACTGCTGCAGCATCCATCTCCAAGGCTTTCCGAGCAACACCTGGCCATCAATAAATAAAGCCCCAATAAATTGTTCATAATGCTAAGTATAGTATTGTATAACAATAAAATCCTTCTTAACGTGACGTAGACTGGCTCCCCTGAACCTGCTGGTTCAGGTCAAGGATGGAGCTGGTCTGCGTTACGTTAAGACATTACGTATTGAGATTACAAGCGTACGGTTCAACAAAAAAAAAAACTGCGGAATTATTAATTAGTTTTAAAACAATTAATAGTAAAAATTAGATAAAATTACACAAGTGTTATTTACACTGTGTAGAGATTTCTTTGTTAATTATTTCGGGCAATACATTGCGTTGTACCGAATTGGTGATTCGTGAAAACTCAACATAACCAAAGTGCCCCAAGGAAAAAACGTGGGGAAGGCTGCAGCTGCTGCTGGCCATATTGTCAACCCAAATTAATAAGCCCCTGTTGTCTGTATTGGAGGAGGAGTTGGAATTGGAATCGGCTGCAGTACAGTGGTCCATAGAGGATTCGCCAATCGTCGAGGAGTTGGAATTGGAATCGGTTCGCCAATCGTCGAACTAAAACAACCAGTTTTAGATGCTGGCCCTCGAATACGGGACATTATAGTCCTAGGAAAGAGTGAACTATTCCCTAACATTCCAAATGAGCAGGAGCAGGAACTCTCCTCTACCGGACGAATGGAGCTGGCCGCTTTGATAAAAAATTATTTTGATCAACGCAAGCTCGACATCGGCCCCCACTGCACTCGCCTGCCAGAGGAAATTTCAAATTTGTATAAGGCGAAGATAAGGCCTACTGGGACAATTCGCTTCGGATCACCAAAAATGACCGAACCGAAATTGAGGCAGTATTTAAAATAATCGACAAGGAGTACCACTGCACATTTGAATGGATGTGCAGGTTAAAGTCAAAATTAAAATGGCATATCATGTTACACCTAAAATCGCACATGGGTGTAAAGGAATTTGCCTGCGAGTAAGTATATGAAACTTCAAAATATTTAGTAAAATTAAATTAAATTTATACCTTTTTCCAGACTTTGCCAATTTTTTCTAGCCAATTCGGATGAGGAGAGACGATCAATTGAGGAGTCTATGGATCTTAGGGAGCCCCCCACACCCAACTCTAGCTTCAGACCAATCACATTGGCTGAGATAGAGACACAGATCAAGGACCTGAAATTGAAGAAATCCCCCGGATTAGACAATATTGACAATCGGACAACCAAGCTGCTTCCAAAGTCAGCATTGTTCTACCTGGTTCTGATTTGCAATAGTGCGCTTCGATTTGGTTGTTTTCCTAGCCTGTGGAAGCGTGCAGTTGTCTCAATGATCCCCAAGCCTGGCAAGCCAGTGGACAAATTGGCCTCATACAGACCCATCAGCTTGCTGTCTTGCTGTCAAACACGCTCATGCACACCACTGGCACTTAAATGCATACACACTATCCGCCTGATCTTCCTTTATCTTCCTCTCTATTTGTTATTTGGTATTGTCACGTTTACGACAATCTTAAATTTGTTACTCCTTTTCTCATTAATACATGTACCAATATGTATATGTAGACCACCATGCTGCCGTCATACACCACTCCATTTTCATCACAACCTAATAACATCTTAGCTGTGATATGTATGACGGTGGCCGCCATTAAAAAAAAATTGTTCATCAATTCTCATTTCACCTTATAAATGGTAAGATCCTTTCTTACCTTCTTCACCAAGCCATTACCATTCCCCAAAAATTACCCAACCTCTGTGTCTCGTGCATGGAACTGCTGGTTTCGCCCAACAATCGGGTAAGAGGGGGGATGAATGAAGACCCACATAGCCGCACTATAGACATGACTGGATCAAGTCTGCGGGCCACTACTCAGGTGCTGGCACTGTCCTCTTAAATATGTTCGCCTGATAGTAACCGAAACTGGGGGCAGTGCTTGAACAAGCCACAGCACCACTTGTTTCCTCCAATTATTTGTAGTAGGAAACATATTGAGACTATGTATGTATGTTTGTGATTTTCAGTCTCTCTTTATTTTGGTTCTTGTGCCCATTGGCCGTTATGGTTGAAGCTTTGTGTGCGCTGTTTTTCTCTCTAAATAGCCCCATGCCCCCACCAAAATTGTGACACATTACCATTTTAAATCGATCGAGCTTATAAGAAAATGACAAATAAAAATATACATTACTGATGAAAAAAAAAAAAAAAAGATAAGGAAGCTACAATTGTGCCCCCTACCAAGGGACAAGGGATGACCGCTGCATATGCTTCAGAACCGACAGGTGGGTGCGTCTCCCTAATATCTAGCTCGGAAGACGAAGAGGAACACCCCTCAATGATACTGCCAGATTCCCCAACACCATCGATGCTTGGACGGGGTCAGGATTCACCCCCTAGGCTTGGAACAGGCGAACACGGCACTCCCTCTCCTGCGGGCACGGAGGAGCCTCCCATCGCCCCAACGCTTCCACGCAACGATGAGATTTCCACCAATCATACCCAAACGCAAACACATAAAGTCTCCAAAAGCTTCCCCGCCCCCCCTCAAAGAAATAAATTATCTCTCCATAATGGCGTAGCCTCGCTTCTCTCTCACCGCTCTCAGCAGGAACATGCTCAGCTAAACTTGACGAAGAAAACAGTTACAGACCAGCAACATTCAAGTGTTGCAATTACAGACCAGCAACATTCAAGTGTTGCCATTACAGATCAGCAGCACTCACATATTGCCATTTCAGACCAGCTGCATTCTGATGCAGCAAATTCAGACCAAGAACCAATAAATGTTATAGACAAGGCAAGCTTATCGACCAACAAACTGAATATATCGGCTCCTGCTGACCAGGGATGATGGATGTTTGGTCGAGGAGCGTTTTCCTCAATATCGTTGTTCAAGGATGGGGGTGTGTCAATCTCCAAGTGAGCTAATTAACTCGATGCGAAGAAATCTGCTGGAATCCAATTATAATCCGAAAAGTCGAGGGGGGTTCAGTTGAGTGCTAGCCAATGACTATTTATTTGGTTTCTAAGTGCATGAGCACTGAGCATAAGCGGGCTTCTGTGTGGTGAATTCAATTACAAATTTAGTGCAAGAGCGTAACAAAGAGAGTAAAACATGAGCGTAAGGTACTACAAGGCGAGGGTCATTTAAGTGATTATTATATTATATTATGGCCTTAAGAGTTTGATCGAACATCCCGGCCCCGTTGAAAGGATTGCTTTCAAACTACCGGAAGAATTGCCAACTTGTGTACTGGCCTGCAGCAAGTTCCATTCGCGGTGCGGAGGTGCACCACGCGTACACGACCATCCCTTCCGAGCACTGTAGACTGCACTCGGCCTAGTTTCCAGCGTAGTGGGGGCAGGTTGTCCTCATGAATGATGACCATTGTGCCCTCAGTGAGATTCGTTGAGGGTGCTGTCCATTTCGTGCGAGATCGCAATTCGTTGACGTAATCCATCGACCATTGCTGCCAAAACCGTTGCTTGACGGCGGTGATCATGTCGTAGCGGTCCAAATTCGACAACTTGACGTTTTCGAGGGATCTCTCAGGCAACGAACGCAATGATTCGCCAACCAAGAGGTGACCAGCCGTAAGAGCGTTGAAGTCGTTCGGGTCTGACGAGAGTGGTGATATCGGGCGCGAGTTAAGGATGGCTTCTATCTGCACTACGACGGTGCTCAGTTCTTCAAACGTAAACCTTGTGTTTGCCAATGTTCGATTCAAGAGCCCCTTCGCACTCTTGACGGCCGCTTCCCAAAGGCCTCCGAAGTGAGGTGCCCTGGGAGGAATAAAGTGGAAATTAATAAAATCTGTGGCGCAAAATCTATAAATTTCATCTTGGGTCTCCTTTTTGAACATAAACCTTTTGAGTTCAAGCAGTTGATTTGATGCCCCGACAAAATTAGTGGCATTATCGCAGAAAATGTCTGCCGGAAATTTTCGACGACCTCCCATCCGCTTCAATGCATTCAAGAACGCCTTCGTTGATAAGTCCGAAACTACTTCAATGTGAACGGCTTTGGTGAGAAGGCAAACGAACACGGCCAAGTACGATTTTGTAGGCCCCTTTCCTCGAATCCGTAGATAGGTATTAATTGGTCCACAAAAATCCTTCCACAAAAGCCTTCGGATAGTTTTCGCTGGTAACCTGGAATGCCTGAACTGTGTCTAACGCCGGCCCCTTTAGGCAGGTCAGCAAATAATTAAACCTTTCTATGTTAGACAGTCCAGACTCACGCACAATAAGTTGATCGAACGAATTTATGAAATTCTTATAATTCGCATAAGTGCCGTCAAACGTAGGCAGCGACAACCTCGGCAACGATGACCGCACTGGCGGCGGGTGGTGATCCGGCGTCAATATGCTAGCGTTCAGATCTCCTCCTAGTTTTTCCTTTATGGATAGCTTTATTGCTATGTAGGTATCTTCCAAGTCCGCACGTCCTTCATCGTTCGGACTAAGATCCTCGATGTCAGATTGAACGTTTAGAATTTTCTTGAAATACGTTTCCAAGATGCTCAAGCGATAGCGAAGCTCATCATTACAAATTGGGTTTTCCGATTTGCCTTCCACCACAGATTTGATACGAGAAATATTGCGCTTAATATTGCTCCGTTGGCGTTTCAAATCTTCGAGCGTCGTCATTTTGTTGTGTAGTGTAAATTACACGCACACAGAACTAGAGATTCCAAATTCAAATGCACGCAACAACAGCAAGCAGGCACCAGATCAGCAGCAGCAAGAGAACAAATTTAGAAGCGAGCGACGGCGACAAAAAAAAAGGGTTGAGCGCAATTCCAGTCCAGAGAGTGAGCAAAAATTCCAATGACGGCAACGAAAGCGAAAGTGAAGCAGAGAAATTCGAAGAGATAGATGACTGCGTTGACCGATGGACCACAGCAGGTAGCAGCAATGCAAACGAAACGAGAGCGCAAGCGCCGTTAAATGCGATGTGGGTGATAAGCGAATGATAGAATTAAGCGAGAATGGCGAGAGCACAGTGAGAGGTTGATGAACCCGCGATCGATCAG